GGAACGAGCCTTGTCATATGGGTGTTATCTGCTCGATTGATCCACAATGATCCAAAACCACATTCAAACGTTCCCATACGCATCTGCGAGGACAGGCAGACTTGAGGAAGCAGATTCCCAGCATAGCCAATGGAAGGTATTGCACAGCGGAAGGGAAAACCAGATATGGAAATTAAAAGAAAATTATGGAACGATTTTCACTTTGCAGGCCCCTAGTCCCAGTTATAGGCTCAGGATTCCCAACTCCAAAAGAGGCCGAAGAGGCCTAAACGTAAATAGGCCACGTCAGGTACCCCTTAGGCCAGACTGGTCAAAGTCCAACCGGTACCCGGCCAAAAGAGTCCAGTCCCAAAGTCCCAAGGCAGCAGCGCTCCAAGAAAATCTGGAAGTTACCGGGCCTAAAAAATTCAAGCAGCAAACAGACCGCGGGCGACCGGTACCAGTCAGAGTCTAGCGAAGCCCGAGTGAAGCCACGGCGCAGTCCAGTCACCCAGTGCAGTCCAGGCAGATTACTCATTCGTGAGAAGGTGGAAGTGCTGCTGGCTGCTTGTGCGACCTCACAAGTCCGACTGCGCACCAGAAAGCCTGTTGGGCCATGCCAGGTTGAGGAAGATTGCTGATCCGCCCTGCCAATTAAGAGCGGGGGGGTAGAGGCGATGGCGAGTGCGTGGGGAGCGAATCGGTGGGCGGGCCCAGCGGTCTTGCTACCCAGCGCCTCGAGGCTGACGAGGAAGATGACCAGCGTTGATGCCATCGCTGCAACAAAGGACAGAAACCAGAATGTGCAGGGGAGGTTCAGCAAGGGGAGTATATGGCGGCAAAACGGGCAGGACGGTAGCATCCTGTGCTTGACGTGAGGGCGGCGTCCTTGCAATCTATGCTCTACGGCAGGAACGGCGGACCAAGACGGGCAACGGCTCGTGTCACTCGATAACACCAGCACTGAAGGGGGGGGTTGGCTTCATCAGCAGTGAAAGATGGCTCTCTTCAGGGACCTGCAACAAGCAGCGGCTCATTGGTTTACTATCTACAGGATGGACGTCGTCGGCTGCAGGAACTGGCAGCGCTCTTCTCTGGGTCTGTCCGGGCTGGACAGGAGATCGATAGGGGGGCGGTCTCAGTGGCCAGCTGGGTGAAAGTGACGATGGAGCGCATGATGGAGGTCATTTGTGGTTTGGAAGAGGGGCCTAATCCACAGCTTGAGGACTTTATTGATGCCAAGAAACGAGATGACCTCCTTAATCAGTGCTACGACATCTTTGAAAAGGGATGTGAAATTATGCTGGTGCAGCAAAACGGGGGGGCGTTGCCAGTCAGAATGGCCACGAAAGGTCAATTGTTCAACAAAATACCATCAACCACTTCAACAACACCGACAACCATGGTGGCAGCTGTTCCAATGCTTATCGTGGCCACCTCAAATAGCACGGAGAAGCTCGGCATTCATGCAACTACAGCTCAACCAACCACAATCATCATACCAACTACAACAGCGATGGTCACTGCAACGACTCTTCAGACACCGCTGATATCTGCCTATCACAGCTATCTCACATGGCACAGAGGAACGTGGCGCTCGTACGGCTACAGCTACACCAACAGTGACCAACTACAATAATCCCACCAACTACAGCAGTGATGGTCACCAGAGCGACGTCTCAGGCACCGTTGACTTCATTACAATTGATTACGATCACAACAATTGTGAAGATGAAGCCACTACGATCAACTTTAACGACCGCTATCACGGTAAGTGTTCCTCGGCTTCAGCCTGCTTTTCCCAAGAAGGGGGCCTCACTCAGCACTGTTGTGCTTGAGAGGGTGGCGCGAGGTAGACAAGGGTTTCTGGGGCGTGGCTTTGTTTTGCTTCCCTTTTCAGCTAAGGAGTTTCTTGAGCTATTTGGCATGCCAGCAATTGTTTGTCCGGAAAGCGGAGGGRGATGGAATTTGGTGGGGGGGGGGGGGGGGGGGGGGGGGGGGGGGGGGGGGGGCGCGGGGTGGSAGRGGCYATGGGRSCCCGGGSCCCGAGGTCGACGGAGKCTATMGGRG